AGAAGAGGAGGCTGAGGGGAGACCTTATCGCTGCCTACAACTGCCTGACAGGAGGGGGGAGCCGGGGGGGGTTGGGCTCTGCCCAGGGAACAGGCAATGGGATGAGGGAAAATGGCCTCAGGTTGTGCCAGGGGAGGTTTAGGTTGGACATTGGGAAAAATTCCTTCCCCGCAAGGGCTGTCAGGCCCTGGAAGGGGCTTCCCAGGGAAGGGGTCGAGTCCCCATTCCTGGGGGAATTTAAAAGCTGGGCAGAGGAGGTGCTTAGGGCCAGGGTTTAGTGGTGGGATGGCAGGGTTAGGGGAATGGGGATCTTAAAGGGCTTTTCCAACCCAAACGATTCCGTGGTTCTGTGATTGGCCTTACTGGTCTGTCTCAGGGAGCCATTGGGGGTACCATGAAGGGTGGTTCCCCATCGCCCATTGGCTTTGGATCTGCAGGTTGCTGGGTAGGCAGAGGCTGGAGGAGACCCTTCTGGGTGAGCTGCTCCCTGCCCTCTGCCACCAGAGCGCAGGCTGCTTTCCTACTGCCATGCCAAGGACACGCTCTGGGATCAAGTGCTGGAAGGAGCTGGTTTTCTGCTTTGTCCCACAGATGAGTCAGAGCTGCTGGTGCAGCTGCCGGACAAGATGAGGCTGGACATCGCCATCGATGTGAACTACAACATCGTGAGCAAGGTGGCCCTCTTCCAGGTACCCTCTGTCATGTGGGCCCCGGCTGGTGGAGCCTGGCATGCCGGCGTGTACTGACGGTGCAGTCGGCTCTGTTTTGGCTCAGGGCTGCGACAGGCAGATGATCTTTGACATGCTGAAGCGGCTCAGATCAGTGGTCTACCTGCCCAATGACTACGTTTGTAAGAAGGTAATGGGACGCTCGGTGCCCTCCCATCTCTGGCATCACAGCCAGGCTCTGCAGGGCACCCAGAGTGATGCAGAGTAGGGGAAAGCCAGGCCTGGCCCATCACCATGGCATCGAGATGCTTCACAGGGAGGAAATTCAGAGGAAAAACATCATCAGTTGCAGCCAGTCTTGTGCAAAGACTGACCTCTTCTGCAGCAGCCACGAACAGCAGGGTACGGGGAGAGCCTGCGAGCTGGAGGAGAGCACGGCTGCTTGTAGATGAGGATGCTTGGCAGTGAGCACCATCAGGACAAAGCGGTTTGAGGGCTTGGGGGAGGGTGGTATGGTCGCAGGGGTTCCCAGCAAGGGGCAGGTTAAGGCACCCATGGGGTCCCCCTGTCTGGGGGCACCCCATGCAGCACCCGCCTCTGCTGCAGGGAGAAATCGGCCGCGAGATGTACATTATTCAGGCGGGACAAGTGCAGGTGCTGGGAGGACCTGATGGCAAAACCGTGCTGGTGACTCTGAAAGCCGGATCTGTGTTTGGAGAAATCAGGTGAGCTGGGAGAATGCGGCTGGGGGGCTCTGGGTGCGGAGGGTGGGAGGTGGGGAGATCCGTAACACCTCAGTTAATCTGTGCTCTCGAGAGCCCCAACACCAAGCAGCATCTGCTGCACAAATCACAGCTTTTGTTCCTGGGGTTTTTCCGTGGTTTTTGTCATCGTGCTGCTTTCTGCCCAGGGAGCCGGTGGCAGTGAACAGAGGTACATGGAGGGGTGGGGAATTGAATGCGAAAAGACGTTTCGCTAAAACAGCCCCCCCGCCATCAACCTGCCCATTCCACGGGCCTGTGAAGTCCCCAGCCCATTTGTAACGCTGTGATGGAATTTGCCCCCCTGTAGCCTGGCAGGCACTAGGGCGGTGTAAAAGGCAATATTTAAACCTTCAGATGGGCAAATTACTTTTTATATAGCACTCCATGCCAACATTGCCCAGCGTTCTTTAAAAACGGGGCGTGGAGAATTTCAGAAGGGGTGAAAATTGAGCTCTTGGGTCCTCTGAAAGGGCCAGGGGGACACTATAGGAAGAGGGAGATTTTAAATTGCAAACGTTGTGGCGAGCCCCTGAACGCCAGCGTTAACGCCTCGCCGTGTCTCTTGCAGCTTGCTGGCAGCAGGGGGGGGAAATCGCCGAACAGCAAACGTCATCGCTCATGGCTTTGCGAACCTCTTCATTTTGGATAAGAAGGACTTGAACGAGATTTTGGTGCATTATCCAGAGTCTCAGAAGCTGCTGCGTAAAAAGGCCAAGTGCGTGGCGGGCTGCTGCAGGTTTCACCATCACGGGGGAGATTCCTCCCTGTGCAAAGCACTGGGAAAGCTGCAGGTGCAGGCGTTGGGCATCAGGCCCATGGCCCCGGGGGAGAGCCGGGCCAGAGCTGCTGTGCTTTGGCAGGGGGCACCAGAGATGCCCAGGGCCAGCCCAGCCCTGCTGCAAAGCTCCACCGCCAAACACGGGCGCAACTGGGGAACGAGCGTGGCCAAAGCGCACCCACTTAAAAAAACTATACAAACACTTGTCTGAGTTTTCCGCGTCATTCTGTCCTTCCTAAGGCATGAAGAAATCTCTGTTCAAAATCCAGCTAATTTAACGCGCTCCCAGACTGAAATAACCTCTCTCCTTTCCCTTGCATAGGAAAATGCTGAGGAACAACAATAAGCCCAAAGATGAGAAGGGAGCGCCCGGAGACCCGCTGATCATCCCCCCAAAAGCTGACACCCCGAAGCTCTTCCAGGCTGCCCTGGCTGCCATGGGGAGGGCAGGGGGCAAGGGGCCACTGGCCCAGCTCCTGTGGAGGCTGAAGGAGCTGAAGGCGATGCAGGCGACGCAGGTCAGCGTGGGGAGGGTGGCAACTGGGCTTTGCTTCCTTAGATGCCCCGGCCAGCTCCAGCGCCTGTTGTTACGGTGCCTTAAAGCAGTGAGCTGCGGACATCGGGGTCTGACATGACACGGGTGAACAGGAAGGGGCTGCCCAGCATCTGACTCCGAGACCGTGCCATTGTCTCGCAGGGTTTGTTTTGCAATGCAAAAGGGAAATACATTGACTTTTGGCCCAGCTATGCTAAGTCTGAGCCCAGTTCCTAGCTGGGCTATAGCCGCAGATGAATGTCCCTTCCGTGCCTCAGAGACAGCGCCCCTCATCATTAATCGACGTGCTGATGGGATGGAGGCGATGCTGGCGTGCAGCATGCACAGGTCAGCCAATACCTGCAACGCTCTCACAGCGTGGCTGTGGCCAAGGCCCCCAGCAGTAGGCATGGCATCCTGCAGCTTTTTTGTTGTGAGCAACCATAAAAGAAAACGGCCTTGCTCTTCTTCTTTTCTATTTTTCCCTTCTGAGTGTCTCTGCTGAACTCGTTACAAGGTCGAGTCTCTGCGCAGACCTTGCTGGTACGCCTCCCACCACAGAGCTGTGCCATCTGGGCGGGTAAGGGGAGGTAGAAGAGCAGCTGACAGGGTGTGCGCGGTGGCCTTGGGGCTGGGTAAATACCAGGGGGATGTGGGGCATATCTGTGTCTCTGCCCTCCTTCGCAAAAGCACGACGAAGCTTCACACAATGCAGCGCCTCACACTAATTAATAATCAGTTAATGGCAGTGGTGAACGGGGGCACCACGTGCTCCATGGGGTGGAGGCAACAAGACCCGTCATTGGAGAGGGCATGGATTAGGAGCTAACCCTGCTAGTGGGGTGGGCAGGACTGTGATAGAAGGACATCACTCCCTGTGGCACAGCCATGGTGAGGTTGCTGCGGCTTTAGGACAGGGCTGCTCCCTCACAACGACGCCTCAGCCACGCTTTTGCCAAGATCAACCCCCCCAGTTGCTTCAGGAGCAAAGCAGGAGCTTGTGCGGGAGGCGCGAGCATGGCACTCGGCTCCACGCGTGTCTCCTGCCACGTGCAGGGTGTATCCCAGCCGCTCTCCGCACGGGGTCACCTCTGGCAGTACGCTGGCGTCCCAGTGACACGCCCAGCGTGGTGACGCCCCACAGAACACCTCCCTGGCTCCACACAGCGCCAGCGCCGTGGCTGGGGGGGCTGGACGAGGCTCCGCTAAAGCTGATTTTTGCCTTTTTTTCTTTTTTGGATTGCAGGGTTCCAGCTTCAGCCCGACCCCACCAAAATCACCCGTGCACCGGAGATCGCCTGCCGCCTCCCACAAAGCACGTGTCCACCTGGGAGAAGAATTGTTCTCAAAATCCTCTGACAGTTTAGTCACCATTCGTGTGATTGCCACAGCACAGGATGACGAGGAAATCCTGGCTGCTGAAATCTCAGAGAAAGAAGAAGAAGACAAAGAAGAGAAATGAAAACAGAGCTGCTCCGGGGGCAGGAGTAGGGGCCGGGCAAATGCCCGGTGTAGAAGCTTTTTGCTGTTACCAGTCTCCGTGCAGTGGCGTAGGCTTCACGGGTAGGATCTGCTTTCCTCACTTTCTGCCTAGGCAGTTGATACCAACTCACTGTTGACAAAACGCTCTGCCACCTGACCCAGACCCATACAAGGCTTCTGTGCTCTGGAGAGAGATTTTTATTGAGCCTCTTTATGAATATTCCCACTGAATCTCAGGCCAGCCCTCTTGCTTTGAAGTCCAGCTTCGTGGGGAGGGAGCCCTGGAGAAATTGCTTTTTATGGCTCTGGGTGGTCAACGAGTGTGCAGATAAAGCATGAGGAGCTATTTGCCTCTGACAGCTGAGTCACCACTTGGCCAGAAACAACCAGGGAAAAAAGCCCCAAGGTTTCTCTGTTGGGCTCAAGGTTGTCAGCAGCTGGGGAGTGATTCATCCAAAAAGGACATGGACTACGCTCACGAGCTGAGCACGGGGCGAACCACACTGTCACAAGAAGGCTGAGGTCCATCCCAGCGTGCATAGACTGCAAGATGCTCGAGGCTCCCTGCGTGGCGTCGAGACCAACTTGGGTTTTCTGCTGGGAAGGTGGTGGGCTCTCCGTCACTGGAGGCGAGTATGGAGAGGTTTGATGAGCACCTTTCAGAGGTGGAGAAGCACAGTCCTGAATGAGGACATGTTCCTGGAGATCCTTCCAGCCCTGGGTGTCCATGGCTGCACCAGCCTGCAGCTGTTGGGGGGAAAAGCCGAGTGCAGGAAGGGAGAAGCCATGTTGGTTTGCAGCTGGGACAGGCAGCAGAGGTGCAGTAGGTGTTCTCCTCCCCAGGCAGCGTTTCAGAGTCAGGCCAGAGCCCGTAGCCTGCAAATAACCATGTAAGAGCATGCAGGTGGTCCCCTGCACTTGTTGCTGGACCTCGGTGTCCTGCCACATTTCCAGCAGCCGATTTCCAGCACCTTTCGGTCACTTTTCCCAAGGAGAAGCCTCTCTGGTCCTGCTTGTCACTGCAAGGCGACTGCAAGGCGCTGCTGATTGTGAAGGCGCCCTCCAACCCTGCTGGGGCTGGGGGCTGGAGGAGAAGGCAAATGCCTGGTCAGCAGCCCAGCTGATGGCACAAGGCGTCCCATCTTCCTCCAGCACTACCAGCTACTCACCTTTCCCAAATCTGGCACCAAGCAGAGCAAGCTGCTGGTGAGCTGAGAGGTGGCGAGAAGCTGCGGCCAAGACAGCACTGGATGAGATGACACAGACCCTCCCCAAGGCCTTGGCCAGATGGGTCTCCATGGTACCACTGGCTCAGTTGAGAGGACCCCCCTTCTACCCTCTGGAGGAAAAGCCAGGGCGGGTTTTGCCACGGGGAGCAGCCCTGGAGCCACGGCCGAGGGACTTCTCAGGCGTTCAGAAAACACCGTGAGCAGTGCTGCAGGTCTGGTGTGAGGTGGCCAGGCTGTCGGTGAAGGGCGTCCATGCTGGCGTCACCCTGTACGTGGGTGACCCCTCTTCCCAACAGCAGCCTGGGGCCGATCTTCACCTCCTACTGGGTCTTTTTATTTTGTTGCATTTTTTTCCCTCCCTTGCAAAAGAGATGAGTTTCCCTGGAAGAAAAAGCCAGGATGTACGTTAGTGTTAATTAACGATGGCTCGCTCTCTTTTAAACACATCTAATGAGCTCAAATGTACTGCAGGAGGGTCTGACACCACCTTAACACTGCAGGGGAAAACCTGGGGTTGCCCAAACCTCCCCAAATACTTCCCATCCTCAGTCATTTGCAAGTGGTCTCCTGCTGGGTAGAAGGCTGCAGTAGGGAGTGCAGAGTATTTTATTTTCCCATCATACAAATATTTATATAATCAAACCAGGAAAGGTGCCGAAGTCAGCCTGGGGCTCTGATCTGCGGCTATGATTTGATGCGGTTTAGAAAAAGCATTTGAATAACTGTTGGGTTGTAATGGCTTTCATAGTTCACTATATCTACAATAAACACTGCATAGACTACTGTTCATTAGATTTATTTCAAAATTCCAGTTGTTTTCCATCTTTTTGCTTGCTGATACAGCGATGGAGCCAGGAAAGTCCCCCCGGGTGGTTCACAGATTTTCCAATGAACTTTTCAGAGGCTCGGGGGTCACAGAATGCTACCAGTAGAATTGTAATTTTTTGGTTTTTTATCGCCAGAAGGAGGGAAATAAGTTCCCTTAAACGTCAAATGCTTGCGTGAAGACCTTTGTTTGCACCACGCAGCACTGGATGGTGGCAGATACATAACTGCTAATTCTGGAACTGCAGGGAGATTTGAAGTTATCCTCCCCTGTGATCTGCTTACGGCTTTAGTTCTTCAGCGAGATTATTCTCCAGGTAAAAACCAAGGTCAAGGGAGGGTTGGGCTTCCAGGCTGGGCTGGAGAGCCGAGCCCACGTCTGTTTGCTGGGCAGGACTAGTTACAAATGATGGGTAGGCTAAGGGGGCGGCAGCTCAGTCCATGCCTCTCACAGAACCCCAGTAGAAGTTCTTCCGTTCAACTGGAACCTCTTCTGCTTCCGTTTGTGCCCATTGCCCCTTGACCTGGCGCTGGGCACCACTGAGAAGAGTCTGCCTCCGTCCTGGTGACACCCACCCTTAAGATATTTGTACATGTTGATGAGATCCCCTCTCAGCCTTCTCTTCTCCAGGCTGAACAAGCCCAGCTCCCTCAGCCCTTCCTTGTAGGGGAGATGCTCCAGTCCCCTCATCATCTTTGTAGCCCTCCTCTGGACTCTCTCCAGTAGCTCCTCACCCTTCCTGAACTGGAGAGCCCAGAACTGGACACAGTGCTCCAGATGGGGTCTCAGCGGGGCAGAGTAGAGGGGGAGGAGAACCTCCCTCGCCCTGCTGGCCACGCTCCTCAGAACACACCCCAGGATGCTGTTGGCTTTCTTGGCAACAAGGGCACACTGCTGGCTCATGGTCAGCTAGTTATCCACCAGGACTCCCAGGTCCCTCTCAGCAGAGCTGCTTTCCAGCAGGTCAGCCCCCAGCCTGTGCTGGTGCATGGGGTTAAACCTCCCCAGGGGCAGCACCCAGCACTTGCCCGTGTTGAACTTCATTGGGTTCCTCCCTGCCCAACTCTCCAGTCTGTCCTGTACATTGGCTTTCTGCTAAATTTTGTAATCACGTTCATCCACCAGTTCTGCCACATTTGCAACAGGTTCCCTCTGCATCGGTCCCCATGCAGCGTATGCTTCCCACAGGCCTGCTCTTTCCTCTGCCCTCGTAACACTCCTGAGGGATTTGGTAACACCCCATCTACCCCCACTGCGTTTCTTACTTGCTTCTGCTCGTTCTGCTGTGATGTCCTGAAGTGTTGGATCAATCCCATATGAGAACCTTTAGTCATATTAATGCAGCATTTGGGGGACTTTGCTTACTGCTGGTCCAGCCCCCAGGGAATTCTGCACTGCAGTCTTCCTCCCAACTTCTACCGTCCATTAACGGGGGCTCGGCAGGCCATAGCCACAGCAACCGGGTTTGCTTGAACCAGTATTTTATAGCTGCTGCTGCTTTCGAGTGAAATAAGTGGAGCAGAAGCTGATGGGAGAAGCAGAGCTTGCTGCGGTCGGGTCTGTATGGATGCGTCAGCTTTGGCCTCGCTACCATGAGGAGCATCTCTCCTAGAGGCTTTATGTGTACAGTTTATATATATATATATATATATATATATACACACACACACACCCTTTTATATAGAGAGAGATATTTTTAAATAGCTATAGATGTGCCTTTTTACACTGGAGGGGTATTCATATTCCCCGTGGCCTGTGCTGGTAATATCCTGCAGAAAAGCGAGACTGATTTAATGTTCTGTGTGAAGTTAGAGAACACAGGAGCTTCCTGATAAAAATAAATCAACTTGCAAAAGGAATAACATAACCCAGTGTGGCCGCCTGACTGCGGAGGATGCTGGCTTCCCCCAGGCGGGAACAGGGCAGGTAGCCACTCTGTATTTATAGTCGGAGCAATCTTTTAAAAAGATTAAGTGCAATGGCAGGTTAATCACTGATAAGGTTATAACAAATGCAGAAACAAATAAGCAGGTTTGGGGATTAGGCTCAGGTCTAGAAAGAAATTGCAGAATAAATGGAAAGCCCAGTTAAATGATGTTTAATTAGAAAGCTTGAATGAAATTAAGCACTTCAACCTTGAAACCTGGCAACCTCAACCAGCAGGACATGCGCCTGATTCTGGGAACAGCCTGTAAGCCCCTTTTTCTGCCTACATCCATGTTTTCCATCAGGTAGATCTGCTCTGAGTCATGGTTGCAATCAAACCCCCCTGCATCCCTTTTACCTTTTGCAAAAATGGAGCTAACACAACTCCGGTTTTCCCTGCCCCGAGTGCACAGCTCATTTTAAGTGCAATAATCATCCCATTGGAGTTAACACCCTTAGAAAAACCCAGCAGGAGCGCCCTTTGGGAAGGGGTCGCGCAAAGGTGGGCAAGCCCATAGGTGCCCACACCACTGCTTATTAACGGCAGCTTAGGCT